CATTATGATAGCTCCCAGCATGATAAGAACGGCAAGTACTGGCACGTTTCCACACGAAGATGTGATGTGCATACCTTCAGCCTGGGAGCCAACTGCCCTAAGATCCTGTGGACTTGTGTCGTGAAAATCGCCGATGACGCGGTGCACCTCAAACGCGGCTCCTAACAATTTGGGCGGGACCAGTGCATCCCGAGGCAAGGCGGCCCTCCCAGATCGGAGAACCCGGCGGGCGTTCTCGGCAGGAGTGATAACCTTTTTAGGGAAACACTTCTTCAAGTGCACGCGGATAGATGCCTGGCGCGTACTGCGCTGTCCAGGCATAGGGGCCAGGACCTGACGGCAGCTACTGCACATCCAACCCCTTACCTGAATCCGGTTAGTGCCCAACGCAACATGGGGCTCGACCCTGACTTACCCCTACCTGATGAAACCTGCCCCTGAGGATTTTGGGATGCTCACGCGTGATGTGATTATTCGACAGACAGAGAAAGTGACCACCAAAAACTTCCTCATCGAGGCTGGGGTCAGTCGCACGCAGGTTTTGGGCAACAAGGTGATCCACGCTTCTCCTTCCCTGCGGCTAGGTCTAAGACCACCTGCCTCGTCAAGCGCAACACCTGCGGTATGCTCAAGGGTCCAGTTCCAGCCGCCCACGGCACACCGAGGGTGATCTCGGTCGATGTGATGATGCTCAGCGAGTATGTCTTCGAAGCGTAGTTTCTCTCGCATCCGGCGCAGGCCTGCGCCAAACAACAATTAGGAATCAAGATTCAAGGTTTAGTTTATGGTGGGGAGATCGTCGCGAACAGCAACGACCAGGCCTCCACGACTGGTGTTCTGGCGGCCGCCAGGCTGGTGCCAAGCACAATATTGCTTGAGTTTCAACCTAATTAAAAACTTGCTCAGCTTGAGCTGGGGTGAAATTAGGCTCCGTCCACGCAACTACGAGAGGTGTTTCACTTTCAACTTCAGCATATCCCACGCGTAAGCCACGCCCTGGGAGTTCAGGGGCCACACCGTTGACGAACGGACTTGGGCGGGGATGAATGTTCTCTTGGGTAAGGTCTCTCACCCTGGAATCAGCCTTATGCATTGGCACAAGCGCAGCTTCGAAGGCACGCTTCTCTTTGCTGGTGAGGTTCCACTCTTTAGCGACAGCACGTCGCCACTTCAAAAACGGTATTCGACACGCAGTGCTTTGGCTCCAGTGTCAGGAGCGCATTGGGTCGCGCGCTTGAGGACTTGGGCTTTGCATGGTAGGTGCACTTTCTGCAGGTCAAGCACTTGCGCGATATCCAGGCTTGACATTCTTTGCTGTCTGCTTGCGCCCTCAACGCAAGTCAAATCGTGGCCGGTCGATGCTGCAGCTACAGAGGGTTTAGGGGTAGGCTTAGGGTGGAAAGGCACTCCTCACCAGAATCTAGCTTGCAGCGCTCAAGAAGCTGCTCGCAGGCATCCTTGGGCAGGGACACGCGTAGTTTTGCAAAGTTCTTGAGAGTGGCTGCGCGGGCAGCACGGGTGCACACAGCGCGCAGATGGTCCTGCTGACAGCAATATGAATTTTTCCAAATCACACAGCACTTGGCGCATGCGATGGCATAGAAATCTCCGAATCTCCACACGAATTGAAGCTGAAGGGCCAGTTTCTTGAAGCACCTGCATCTGCTTTGTGACCACAATGGCGCTGCAAAATGCTTTAGGCGGAGGCTTCTCTCCTTTTTTTGCTTGCCTCACCCACGCCGCTGAAAACGCAGCAGGCATTCTCACTTGGGGCAGGGCGATTGCGCTCGCAGCAAGCGCTCGTGCGCGCGGGCGCTTGCCTGATGCGAGCAGCGGCTATGGCACGGTATCCGCAATCGCCAGCGCCCAAGCCCAACATGTCGCGACGGATCCATTCCCTTTACATGGCTTCATCGAGATCAACTGGCATCAGATTGAACAGCGTAAAACCCGTGTTTGCTTAGCTGAGGAAAGCTGAGCGGGATGCTGAGGAACATCTGGCTTCTCCCTAACGCAGGAAATTCCCGGGCGCGCGCGCAGGTTAGGGACGGGCGACGGCTGGGCGCGTTACTCACAATCTGCGGCTTCCGGCCCTTTCATGCATCTTTTCAAGTGGCTGGCGCGCCAGAGCAAAAATTAGCGCGCGGCCGCAACTTTCTCAAGTCCAGGGCAGCGCTGCAGGCAACTGCGAGGTTAGCAGTACCTCCCTTCAGGAAGCAAAGGCCTTGTTTGCTTTGCTGGGCCTCAGACAAGCCGCGTCGCAAGCACTGCTCACTATTTTCATCTTCTTGCCTACCAAACCACCTTGCTGGTCTTGCGGTGTTGGCGGCTTCTGGGAGATGGAGGAAATTCCCCGCTTACCCGAAAACGAAACTACTTCATGAGGCGAATGAGAAATCTCGTGATGCGCCAATGCCCGCGGATTGGGCTCCAGCACCGGTCACCTCAAGTCACCTCCAGTGAGCTAATGAGCCGGGTTGTTTGCGTCTAGGTTTGTTAGCCCAGTAAGTATGCATTCGCACGTTTTGCTCATCCATCCTCCTGCTGCGTACAAGAAGGCGGTCAAGCTCTCAAGCTCATCCGTGCGTGAAAACTTGAGGGCGGGATACTGGGTTGTGGAGCCGGGGTTAGTATTGCCTGGCCGAACCTGACAAACCACTGAAAAACAGGAAGTCCTCGGACAGCTCATGGATGGCAATGTTAAGCAGCGAGACTGACGTACTGAACGCACGCAAGAGGGGAATTTCACCTGAGTAACAGCTCTCAACACCAACTTTGCACTTGCGTGCACGCAGAATACGGAGCTCGGGCGGTTGCACGCCACCTTACGCAAGCAAAGCCCGTGCGAAACATAACATGTCAGATCAGGCTCTCAACCTAAAATTCGCAGCTCGGGCAGTCACACGACACCTTACGTAAGCAAAGCCCGGGCGAAACGCAAGAAACGAAACATCAGATCAGGCAGATCAGGCTCGCTAGGTCAAACTCGTAGCTTTGCTCACGCAGAATGGGAGGCTCGCATGGGCTTCCCAACTGATCCTCACGCATGAAGCTGGCGTTGGTGTGGCAGGTAGCACCCGTCTGTTCCTGACGGGGAAAGTGGGGCAGACTATGGGCTTGTCTCTCTGGGGTGCTCACTTGAACTTGGACTCTCAATCATAGCTTCAAGCCTAAGTTTCAGAGCACGCTGCTGAGTTGAGGCACTTCTGCTCTCAACCTTTCTTGACATAATACCTTTGGGCCGTGAATAATCCCTGGCAGCGTCTGAATTGCAATGCGAAGCAAAGGGCTCGCATTACACGTACGCCAGACTTGGAACCGAGTCTTGCGTGACAAGCTTGGAACTGCGCGCTGCGTGACATCGTCTCATGAGGGGACGTGAGCACATCTGAGGCCCATGCGCAACTCATTAGCAGAGAGGTCAAGCAGCAAAATGCTGTTTTCATGCTTACTCTCTTCGCACCACGCCACTTTCACGCGGCCAGATAATGTGCTTGCCAACTGCATAAATGGACCGGGCACCGAGCCTGAAACTTTCCTGGCAATGCTTCGGAGCTTTTCACCTGCAAGCGGTTCCCGCAGAAACCTTGGAGTGGGCCTCGTCGCCTCAGTCCACGCCCTAAGAGTGGCAGCCCCGCCCTGTATCCAAATAATGTTGGACCTCCTTTATTGAACCGGTCCCCTATATTGCGTTTTGGGGCCTGCCTATTCAGGATCAGGGCAGTGATTGCAAGCCCCCCCATAACGTGCGTTGATTCTGGTACCCTAAAAAGATAGGAAGGATTCGCAACAATCCCTTTTAAATCAATCCACAGGGACCTCAGAACCGTGGGAACTCAGGCGGCCGTATTGAGGATCCCTAATCTTTTTTTTTTGGGGGGGGCCCTAATGTTAGGTGGGGGAAGGGGGGGGAGGGGGGCCCACTTTTTAAAGAGGACCCCGCAACTAATGAGCCATGCCGCTCTCCACTGTCACGCTTCTCTTGCAAACGAGACCCTTGGGGCGCAGGGCCCGGATGAAACTGCAACGACGGCGAGAGCCCGCTTCTCCGCCCATACACGAGAAAGAAGTTTCTATGAACTTCACGATTCTCCCCTAACATGGGAACCGAGTCATGCCATTGACGTAACAGGCGTGGGCCTTCCTACGCAAGTGGCTTGCAGCGCGTTGCTGAGCTGCCATTGTGACACCAAAACCTGCTGGAGCTCCTGTGAGGCAACCTCCAACCACCGCGCATGTCCACTGAGCACCGCGGGCCGCCTTGCTGAAACAGATTTAACCTTGCTACAGTGAAAGCTACCTGTGAAAGCTACCTGCATGCATGCTCTTCATACCTTCTGCTTGGGAAGCCACCACTGTATGACCATGTGGACTTGACCCGTGGAGGTAACTAGTAGCACTTTGCACCTCAAAGGCAGCCCCAACGGCTTTGGCGGGACACGTGTTTTCCGAAGCAACGGAGGCCCTGCCTGAGCACGAGCATTCTCGGAGGGGGGGGGGGAATACATGGTCTACGACGCTGTCGGGTGGATGTTTGGCTACACTGTCTGGGCATAGGTGGCGAAACCTGGCAAAACTTGTGGCACATCAACCCTCCTATTCTGATTAATCTCCGAGGCCATGTGGGGCTCAACCCGTATTCAGACCTGATGACATCTCGCTAGGGCACTTTCGGGCGCACTCATTTCCATCATCTTGGGCGGGGGTGCGGACGGACATGCATTGAAGAGTTGGGGCTGCAAAAGGGGAACAAGCTTGAAAAAAAACAAGGATGCAACCTGACAATCAAAACTTAAGGTTCATGTGTGCATACATACGGACAATTAGGTTAATTGGGGGGGGCGAAGCAAAAATCCGTACCTCGACATCATCATCATGCTGGTGGTGGTGGTGGTGGTGGTGATGATGATGATGATGACTCGTGGGACTGGTATAATTTATGAGTAATTTATGGATACAGTTGTATTTGAGCAAAATGCGTACCAATGCTGCCCAGATGCAGCTCCAAAGCATGCTGAATATTGGAAAATCATAACAACCACACGAATGTCCTTGCGCAATTTCAACGGTTGTTATATTCGGGGTTTGAAAATGCGGCAGGAAACCAGCTAAACCTATGCTATGCTGATGTCCTTGAGCACGTCACAATAATCCATCAAGGAAGGCTTTTGGGTCTTGCCCGTGACGGACACGTCGAAACGCTTGGCTGTGGGGGTGTCCCAGCAAAGAAGCTTCATGCTTAGTGCACAGAGGAGGAACATCACTGAGGGCACGATCATGGCCACTCGCCAAGCCGTATCCGGGGCCATGCCAGACTCAACCATCGGGTTGAAGAGGACACTCATCATAAAAATCTGCGTGACCTCAGCTCTGATATCAAATTCTGGTGGTCTGTGAGCATTGCATAGGATCCCATGCTGTCAAAACATGGCAATGCAGCACAAAACAAATCAATCATGTAGACCTACAAACCCTGTTTCCAAAAGCCGAATGGAGGGATCCCTACGGTACGACCCTGGACCCAAATCTAAACTTGATCTGAACTCCCAAAATGCAAGGCCATCATGGCCTCACACCATGTCAGCACCGACAAACCACTGGAGCGCTGTTGCCATGTCCAAGGATCCGTGTTTGAAGCCAGCTGTCGTGTATGAACCAATCCCCACAGGAACCTTAACGGCCTCAACCCGGCGCTAAGGATCCTTTGCCCAAGATTTAAGACTTCATAGCCTGCAGGAAGCATTCAATGAGGTACTACGAATTTAGCCTTTAATTCCGGCATGAAAACAACGATTCTTTCTTGACAAGCTTTTACAATAGTTGCGCAAAGTGGCACCACCACCAAGGTTGCCCCATCCAGCGGCTGTGGCGTTTGCAGTTCCGATGACATTCGGGGCAAACATCAAGGAGCACCAAAACTGGTTGGTGACAAACCTAGCATGCAGGCGCATCTACGTTTGGTTCACATCGGTGGATGTCGTGTCCCAATTCCCATGGACCTCCCGTGCTTTCCGATCTAAGTTGAAGCGTTTACAACATATTGATGGACATATTGACATGTCCATGTCCTCACCCCATACCCCTTGCTTCACGCAAGGAACGACCCACCAACTAAAAATTGTGCCTCGCCACGAGGCCACCCACTGTCCACAGCGCGCTGGGCGAAACAAGCGCAAACACGATGGTCTGCAACGTATTGAAAATTAAGTTGTCATTGCCTAACCTCTTCCCAATCCTAGCTGATGCGGGGCTGCAAAATACTGATTCAAAACCAGCGCTGCCCGACCAAGGCCAAGCAACGTCGCGCCAGCACAGCCGATGAAGAAACCTGCTGGGGCTCTGTTGTTTTTATCGTTTGGTTTGGAAATATTCGGGGTTTACACTTGACATGCCGGTGCCAACTTGCAACATCACCCGTCCAAAGCCTAACAAATCACTGACTGCTGGATTGCCTTGTAAGAGCCGAACATGTTCGACATGTACGCAAACAAAAATTGGATGGGGCATACTTACTATTACCATTGTGTGCCCGAACTGATTCATGACAAGCTGCGGATCATGGTGTAGTTCCACGGCGCGCTGATGCCCGCGGCAGCGGCCACCCAAATGGCTCCGAATGTGAGGAGGCCAGATTGCACGTTCACCTGCAACACACCGTGGTTCGATATTGTCATTACCATCCGTGGTTGAAAGAACTCGCAAACATTCGCAAAAAATATTTCGAAAAATGTTCCAAACATGTTTTTTCACGATTAAGGGCCCTTCTAATGGACATGTTCGTTTTGTGTCAGGACTCCGGGTTGTCATTTTGTTTTGGATGTTTTGGTTTCATCGTTCAAGCCCTATTTCCACAAACCTTGTTGTCCCATATGTGGGACCGCAATGCCGGTGGTCGCACGTGTCTTGGTATGCGCACACACAAATGTGTATTCAGGGATACGCGCACAAATAGGTGAGATACGCACCCACGTAACCAGGCATACATGGCCATGCGTACACAAACACAAAGACAAACACAAACACGTGTGCAAGTTTGAACAACGACTGGACAAGAAACGGCCGGAACCTCAGTACCTGCGGAAGGGCGAATTGAAAAAACAGTCTTTGAACATGTCTCCGGCACCGACGTTGGGCTGGAATGGCGGGACATTTGCATGCGTCTGCACATATACATGTATTGCGCAAGCACGCATGCAGGCAACACGCACCTGAACGAGGCGCGCATACGTGCAGACACACACACGTGCGCCCAACACAAGCGCCCCTGGATCCGTGGTTTGCTCCTGCCAGTTTGAGCCACGCGGGCTACCGCTCCTGAATATGTGTTTAAATCTGACACATGTGTGTGCACGCAAACATGCATGCGCGTGTGCGCACGCGCACATGTTTGCATGAAGGCGGGCATGCACGTGTAGACGCACACATGACGGCGCATGCACACGCATAGATCGGCACATGCACACACGCGCAACCACGAGCACATCTAGGCGCCAAAACGCGTGCACACACATACGCATGCGAATACATTAACCACATACGCAAACAAAATGTGCGCGAAGTTGAACAACCACACAGTACATGACTGGAACCTCACGATGCCAAAGCTAAGTTCGATGCTGGCACATACGCCTACCGTAGCACCTATATATACTTGCGGGTGCACACGTGCAATTGTGCGCGTGTGTAGACATACATGTTGGCACGGCACACATGACATGCATGTGCAAATGCACAAACAGGAAAGTTATGCGGGGGCAACACCTGCACGAAAAATGCACACACACAAAACATGTGCAAAATTTGAGCCTCATGACAAACCCAGGAGAAATGGTGGCAGGAATCGTGGTTTCCCGGCCGATTTTAACCACTTGAGCCACCTTTTCTGACATGTGCCCAACTGTGACACGTGTGTGTTTGCGGACAAACATGCACGTGCGATCACGTGCGTATACGTACGTGTGCACACAAGTGCGCGTCTTTGCAGGTGGGCGGACACGCATTTGCACACACACACGCACACGATTGCGCACATAACCCTAAATCTACAGGATTTACACCACATGTATAGAGACGCACAAGGAAAGTGTTTGGCTGCAGATGTCCAAGCAGGTCAGAATTTGGCGGTCTGGCCCCCCCATGCTCCTGGGCATATCATTGTAAACGGGAACTCAGTCCCTGCGCACACCTCCCAACTCGTCCTGTCCTGCGCATCACAGGGGACGGGCAGGCGGGTCTAAACAATTCCCGGTCCACTCGATCATCAAAGTATCTGAAAAAAAACAAAACGACTTGGCAGGGGCGGATAATTAACAGGACTACGAAGTGCTGCAATCCTTGGCTTAGGGTTCGGGGTGTGCGCAGGCCAAAGCCCAACCTACCCCAGCGCAAACCATCCGCACAAACACGCACATCGAAGCCGAAACGCGCGCACGCAAACACATGACTATGCCAACCATTTCGCGATTGACGCTCAAACAACCATGCGCGCGAGGTTCAACCAATGGATAATACGACGTGTGTAAACAAAGCAAAACATCGCGCCATGCTGTGCCTTGAATGTGTTTGGCATTGATGCACAAGCGCGCGTGCGCACGCACAGTTGGGCACGCCTGCATGCGCCTGCACACATACATGTTGGTACTGGGACACATGACATGCATGTGCCCGTGCACAAATATGAAAATTATGTGCAGGCAACACATGTTTGCAAAAGGAAACGCATGAGTATACAAATACATTTACGACATACGCAAGCCAGCATGTGCGCGAGATTGAACCACTAGACAAACATGAGCGGCACTTTGCGGCGTTGAAGTCGAACACTGTGCCAAACTGTGCCCGGACATGTGCTTGGCATTGATACACAAGCGTATGCGCGCACGCACAGTTGTGCACACACACATGTTGGTACTGGCACACATGACATGCATGTGCGCGTGCACCATCAAGAAAGTTACGCGCACGCGACACCCCATACAAGCGGTGGCAGGAATCGTGGTTTGCCCCGGCCCATTTTAGCCACTTGAGCCACCTTTTTCTGACATGTGCCCAACTGTGACACATGTGTGTTTGCGCACAAACATGCACGTGCAATCACGTGCGTACACGTACGTGTGCGCACAGGTGCGCGTCCTTGCAGGTGAGCGGACACGCATTTGCACGCACACACGCACACGATTGCGCACATGCACAAACACGCACATCGAAGCCGAAACGCACGCACGCAAAAACATAAGTATGCCAACAATTTCGCGATTGACGTTCAAACAACCATGCACGCGAGGTTCAACCAATGGAATCCAATGGATAATGCGACGTGTGTAAACAAAGCAAAACATCGGGCCATGCTGTGGCTTGAATGTGTTTGGCACTGATGTACAAGCGTGCGCGCGCACGGACAGTTGGGTGCGCTTGCACACATACATGTTGCTACTGGCACACGTGCCATGCATGTGTACGTGCACAAACAAGAAAGTTATGCGCAAGCGACACCCCGGACAAGCGGTGGCAGGAGTGCCGCGGCCCACTTTAGCCACTTAAGCCACCGTTTCTGACATGTGCCCAACTGTGACAGACGTGTGTGTTTGCGGGGGGCAAACATGCACGTGCGCATACGTGCGTGCGCGCCCAAATGCACGTGTTTGCAAGTGGGCGGACACGCATCTGCATATACACACACGCATACAATTACACACATGCACAAACGCGGACATCGAGGCCAAAAAGCGCGCACGCAAACACATAAGTATGCCAACAAGTTCGCGACAGACGCTCAAACAACTATGCGCTCGAGGTTCAACCACTGGATACTACGTGTGTAAACAAATCACTGTGCCATGCTGCGCCCGGACATATGCCTAGCATTGCTGTACAAAAGCGCGTGTGCGCTCACAGTTGTGCGCGCGTGCACACATACATGTTGGTACGGGCACACATGACATGCATGTGTATGCGGTCAAAGTAGAAAATCATGCGCAGGAAACACACGCACGAAAAATGTACACGTACACATGTGCAATGTCATAACAAACCCAGGACAAGTGGTGGCAAAAGTCGCGGTTTGACCCGGCCAGCTTGAGCCACATGAGCCCTCCTTTTTGGAATCTGTGCCCGACTCTGACACATGTGTGTGCGCGCACACATGCACAGGTTTGAATGTGGGCGGGACATGCAAGCATATGCACACACAAAGGTTTGTGCACAAGCATATTTGGGCACACGCACACACGCCCAACCACGAGCACATCTAGGCCGAAGCGCGCACACATAAATATGCGAATACGTTCACGACATACGCAAGCAAACACTGGACGATACATGCTTGTAATTTCACATTGTCAAAGCAACACACACTATGCCTGAACTTGTGCTTAGCACTTTTTCCATGTGCGTTGCGTGTGGGCACACACATTTATGTACCTGTGCAATATGCATGAGGTCAGGCACACTTGTGGTTGCATGCGCAAACTTACATATGAAGATGCGCATACAATCCAGCACACGTACAGACATGCATGTGTACGCACGCAAGCACCAATGGGTGCAAAGGTTCAACTGTTAGACAACAATTTGGTCAACAGGCGATTTGACAAAAGACATGTTCTTGCAAACGCTTTCCACATTGACACAGATGTGTGGGTGTGCGTGTGCAAATCCACATTCATCTGCGCGTGCAAAAGCAAATTCATGTGTGCATGCACACGCATGTACGTCTGTGCTGGCGCACATGCACTTATATGCGCACCCCTCAGCATGCGCGCCCATGAAATTGGAATGCAATCGCACGCACAAGCCACAACCCGGACACGCTTTCCCGCACACTGCGCCGCCCAATAATTGCAAGATGGTTTACCCCAACGCTGATCACCGGCATTGCCCCTGCTTTCCAAACATGCCCACATCAGTCCTGCTGGTCCGCGTGCTGGCATAAAACATGAAAAAGAAAAGGAGCGCAAAACTGGCCTGCCCTCCGAAAAATCTCTTAGCCACGGTTGCCTACATCGTCCAAGAGTGTTACTCTGAATTTTTCAGCGGGAAAGCATGAATTAGAGAAGTCAAATCATGATTTGGGAAAACCAAACAAAATGACAAGGCGCAGCTAGCGCACAATTTCCCCCACCACTCCATCATCCGCCTGTTCAATCACACGATGTTAGATGTGTAGGAACAACGGCTGATCCGAACCCGCATCTACTACTTCCTGAATCCTGGAGCATGCTAAATCTGAAGATTCAAATACCGCTACGCTGAGTCCTACTCCTTCCGGCCTGATTATTCACTAGATTCATTGCGACCTCGAAAACACTCTGTCTCAATTACATCCATCCGACGGTCTCTTCAAAACATCCGCTGCTTACAGGGTGAGCCCACAGTTGAATCTGGTTTTCTGCCAAGGAACTGGGCCAAATCGCTCCAGCAGCGTGCCTCACAACTTTCCCATGCTCACATGGGAGTACAGTGCATGCTCCGCGGCTGAATCTTAAGGTTTCAGACTTTGTGAAGGAAGTTACTCACTGCGTACTTGAAACATGCTAGTGGAAATTGCTGTTCGGAATTCAAC